GGGGGGGGGGGGGGGGGGGGGGGGGGGGGGGGGGGGGGGGGAATCACCTGAAGGTCAGGAGTTTGAGACCAGCCTAGCCAACATGGTGAAACCTCCATCTCTTCTAAAAAATGCAAACATTAGCCGGCCATGATGGTGCGTGCCTGTAGTTCCCAGCTACTTGGAAGGCTGAGGCAGGAGAATTACTTGAACCCGCAAGGCGGAGGCTGCAGTGAGCCGAGGTCGCGCCATTGCACGGCAGCCTGGGCAACAAAAGCGAAACTTTGTCTCAAAAAGAAACAAACAAACAAACAAAAAAACCCTCTGCTTTTAAAAGTATTTTAAATCCAGTATGAAAAACCTGGAAGTCAGCAAAGGCCTCTAAGAAGAAACTTACCATCAATCATGACCCCTCTTACTACTGACCTTGAAAATCACTTCATCTTCATGGGTCTCTTCCTGAACTTCCTCCCTAGTTCCAGGGCTTGACCTAAATCTCAAAGAGCAGAAAGAAACGTGGCCACCCTTCCTCACTTGAGTCCTGTGCAAACATACAGCCCTATACAGAGCTCCTAACAGTGGAGCATCAACACCCAGGATGATCTAAGTGTGAAACAACCAACGCGGTCGGGCTCCCACGTGGGGTGTGTGACTGCACGCACAGGCGGGAGGAAAGGGCCGATTCTGCACGAGTACCAGGGATAAAACTCGCAGCAGACTTCTCCAACCTTTCAATCAACTGTCCCAAGGGCCACAAATGCGGGACACGCTCCGTGGGGACCCGCAGCCACAATGACGGGAGGGAATCCCGGGCGTCGACGGGACAGGAGAAAACAGCCCGCGCCGGGCAATCGGCGGAGCTCAGCCCCGCGTGGGCCCTGGCCAAGGCCGCGCGTCCCCAGCCGAGCCTACGGGCTGCGCAGGACTCCGGCCCTCGTTCCCACCGCGCCCTGCGCTGCCGCCGTCGGGAAACCGGGTTTTCAAGCCCTCGGCCCCGGGGCACCTAGGCAGACGCGCCGGGCCTGCGCCCCGCACAGCGAGGAGCCCCCGAGGCCGCGCTCCCGGAGTCTGCTCTGGAAACCGAGGCACGGGCCGCGAGGCAGGGGAGGCCCGCGGAATCTCGACCCCGCCCGCCGCCCGAACGGTCAAGCTGGACGCCCGGGCCCGGCTCACCTGGGAGGCGCCGTCCGCCCGCGCGGAGCCAGAGCGCTGCTCACCCGCTCCCGCCGGCTGCTCTTTGTGTCTGGAGGCCGCTAAGCCGCGCTCCTCCCGGCCCCCAGGCGCCGCCCCCTCGGTGTCCAGGCACCACGGGCGAACGGGGGGCGGGGCGGGCGAGCGGGAGAGGGGGCGGGGCCGGGGCGGTGCGGGGGCGGGGCCGGGGCGGGGGCGGGGCCGGGGCGGTGCGGGGGCGGGGCCGGGGCGGCGCCAAGGCCGCGCTCGCAACTCTCAGGGTGGCTCGGGCCAGTTTGGAACCTGGGGTAGCCCCCGGAGCTGACCTCGCGGGTCCCTGTCGAGGCTGTACGTGCTGCGGGGCTTGTCGGTTCGCAGCTCTCGGGGTAGCATCTTCTGGAAACAAGCCTGGAGGCCGGCCAGACAGGGGTAATACCCCAAACCCACCACTGAGGAAACCGCGCCTTAAAACCTGGGTCCTCACCTCTCCACTACGTATTAAATCCATATAGGTTGAGCATCCCTAATCCAAACATCTGAAATCCGAAGTGCTGCAAAGTCTGAAAGTTTTGAGCGGTGACATGACGCTCAAAAGAAATGCTCATGGGAGCACTTCTATTTTCTTCTTTTTCTTTTAAGAAAGGCTGTCACTCCTGTTGCCCTGATGCAGTGGCTCACTACAGCCTCAACTTTCTCAGCTATGGCTCTCGTCCCGCCACAGCCCCCCAACCCCCAGTAGCTGGGACTGCAGGCACCTGCCACCATGTCTGCTAATTTTTGTATGTTTAATATAGACTTGAGTCTCACTGTGTTGCCCAGGCTGGACACAAACTCCTGGGCTCAAGGAATCCACCTGCCTCAGCCTCCCAAAGTGCTGGGATTGCAGGCATGAGCCACCAGGCCCAGCCTCTGGCTAATTTTTGTATTTTTTGTAGAGAGGAGGTTTCGCCATGTTGCCCAGGCTGGTCTGGAATTTCTGGTCTCCAGTGATCCTCCCACCTTGGCCTCCCATAGTGTTGGGATTACAGGCATGAGCCACCCGTGCCTGGCCTCACTGGAGCATTTCTAATTTTGGATTTTCAGATTAGGGATGCTCAATTTGTATAATGTAAATGTTCCTAAATGCTTCTGCTACCAAGCATCTCAGGATATTCAACCTGTATATGTTTATCAAGCACCTACTAGGGCCAGGCATTGTCCTAGGGGCTGCCAACAGGGGGGCAAAAAATTCCTGCCCCTTATGGAGTTTACATGGAAGACAATTTAAAAACGTAAATCCTCAGCCGGGCACAGTGGCTCATGCCTGTAATCCCAGCACTTTGGGAAGCCAAGGCAGGTGGATCACCTGAGGTTGGGAGTTTGAGACTAGCCTGATCAACATGGAGAAACCCTGTTTCTACTAAAAATAAAGATTAGCTGGGCATGGTGGTGCATGCCTAGTAACCCAGCTACTTGGGAGGCTGAGGCAGAAGAATCGCTTGAACCGAGGAGGCAGAGGTTGCAGTGAGCCGAGATCGCTCCATTGCACTCCAGCCTGGGCAACAAGAGTGAAACTCTGTCTCGACAAACAAACAAACCAAATGTAAATACAGGCAGGCTCTGTGGCCACACCTGTAATCCCAGCACTTTGGAAAGCTGCCATGGGCAGATTGCCTGAGGTCAGGAGTTTGAGACCAGCCTGGCCAACATGGTGAAACTCAGTATCTACTGAAATAAAAAAAAATAGCCGGTTGTGGTAGTGCGTGCCTGTACTCCCAGCTACTCGGGAGGCTGAGGCACGAGAATTGCATGAACCTGGGAGTCAGAGGCTGCAGGGAGCTGAGATCATGCCACTAGACTCCAGCTTGGGCAACAGAGCAAAACTCTGTTTCCAAAAAAATAAAAACACAAACATAAATATGCCCCTCCCATCCCTTTCCCTTAAAAAACAAAACAAAACAAAAACACATAAATATATAAAATGTCAGAGAGGGCTGGGCATGGTGGCTCACGCCTGTAATCTCAGCACTTTGGGATGCCATGGTGGGTGGATCACGAGGTCAGGCCAACATAGTGAAATCCCGTCTTTACTAAAAATACAAAAATTAGCTGGGTGTGGTACTCAGGAGGCTGAGGCGAGCCATGCCATTACACTCCAGCCTGGGTGACAGAGTGAGACTCCATCTCAAAAACAAACAAAAAAAATCAGAGAGTTATAAATATATTGAAATTACAAAATGAGCTACAGTGCACTCTAGCATGAGGAAAGTGCATATATTTTGTAGCAACTCCACTTTAGAGGATGTGAGGATCGGAGGCAAAATGACTGGGGTAAGGAGGAAGCTGGATGAAAGACATGCTCTGGGGGAAATGGAGTTTCCAAGGATGGGTGAGATTTCTGAGTGCCTGCAGGTGGTAAACTCCACACGGAGTGAAAGGCAAGCACAGGGAATAGTTCAGATGCGCTCACAGCGTATTCTGGGCTGGGAGGTTTTCCTGACCTGCTGAGTGCACCCAGATGTCTTTTGCTATGCCTATGACCTGTTCCAACCAGTGAGGGGCAGGCACAATGTCAGGGCACACTGTGCAAAGGTGGTCCCTGTGGGATGTGCAGCCAAGGCCCTGATGACTCCAGTTTATAACCCTGGACCCCCAGGGGTGCTCAGAGCCATAGGGGCTACCATTGTGAAGAATGTCTTCAGTGCTCCTGATGCTCTGCATGGGCTCCCACTTACTAGCTGGAGAATGAATTTGGTGTCAAAAGATGTTAATCATGTGCCGCTTATCAGCTGTTTCTGGATAAGCCAGTCATGTAACATCTGTGATCTCAGTCTCCTCATCTGCAAAATAGAAATGTAAAAACTACCCCTTGCACAGGACTGTACTGAATTTAGTTATTTTATTTCTTGAGACAGGGTCTCAGTTTGTCACCCAGGCTGGAGTGTGGTGGTGTGATCACAGCTCACTGCAGCCTTGATTTCCTGGGCTCAAGTGATCCTCCCACCTCAGCCTCCCAAGTAGCTGCACTACAGGTGCACCACCACACTTGGCTAACTTATTAATTTTTAGAGATGGGGGTCTCACTACATTGCCCAGGCTGGTCTTGAACTCCTGGGTTCAAACAATTGTCTTACCTTGGCCTCCCAAAGTACTGAGATTGCAGGCATGAGACACCGTCTCCAGTTGAGCGTACCGAATTTAAATGAGCTAATGCAGTGGTTCTTCATCAGAGAGAAGCGAGGAGACTAGGAATTCTCCACTTTGACGCCTTAAAAATTAAAAATACCAGTGCCTGCAGCCTACCTTCAGACATTCTGATTTTATTGTTGTGTAAGGAAAATTCTCTCTCTACTCTCACACAGTAACAACAATCAACCCAGAAGACCTATGACTAAATGTGTCACACACCAAGCAGCAGACACCAGCTAGGTGTCCTCTAATTCAGTTCTGCCACTATCTACCTAGAATAGTGACAGGGTTCCACAGCGTGAGGACTCAGTCCCCAAGACTCCCCACACATACCAGTCACAAGTCCAGACCTCCACAGAACTTCTGACAGATCAGCTTCAGGTTGGAGTTCCCAAGACCCCGTCTTTAGTTTCAGTTAATTTGCTGGAGTGTCTCACAGAACTCAGAGAAACACTTATGTTCACTGGTTTATTTTTATTTATTTATATTTGAGACAGAGTCTGCTCTGTTGCTGAGACTGGAGTGCAGTGGCATGATCTCAGCTCACTGCAACTTCTGTCTACCGGGTTCAAGTGATTGTCCTGCCTCAGCCTCCCAAGTAACTGGCTCTACAGGCACATGCCACCACACCCAGCTAGGTTTTTGTATTTTTAGTAGAGACAGGGCTTCGTCATGTTGGCCAAGCTAGTCTCAAATTCCTGACATCAGGTGATCTGCCTGCCTTGGCCTCCCAAAGTGCTGGATTTACAGGTGTGAGCCACCACACCTGGCCCACTGGCTTATTATAATGGATATTGTAAAGGACACAGATGAAGAGACACACAGGGCAAGGTTTGGAGGAAGGAGGAGAGCTTCCATACCTCCCTGGGTGCCACCCTCCAGGAATCTCCACTGTTCAGCTACCCAGTTCACTGAACCCTGTCCTCTTGGGTTTTAATGGAAGCTTCACGATATCAGCATTCCTTCTCCCAGGGAGTGGGGTAAGACCCTCTCATGGGAGAGTCTTACCACCCGCAATCAGAAAGGCAGGAAAAAGTCAGAGGCCTGCTCCTGAGGCCCAATGCATACAACTTTACAGCAAAGGACTGTAGCAAGGGCCATGGGAGTCATGTGCCAGGAGCTGTGGACGAAAACCAGAGGCTATCCTAACACCACAATTGTTCAGGAAAGAACCTTTGAGTCAATCTTGACTCTCTCATACTCTACAGTCAGTATATCATCACATCCTGATGGCTCTTGTTTTTAAAAACTTTTTCTTTTGAATTAATGTTATCTTTACAGAAAACTTGGAAAAGTAGAAAAGAGAGGTTCCATATACTTCTCACTCAGGTTCCTGTAAATATCAGCATCTTACATAGCCATGTTTTTGATAATGGTATAATGGTGTATTTATCAAAACCAGGAATTTAACATCAGTACATTACTATTAACTGAAGTCCTTAGTCAGATTTTACCAGTTTTCCCGCTAATGCCCCTCCCCTTTTCTTGTCCGTGCCAGATCCTTCCAGCATCCCACCACGGCCATTCCAAGCCACTCACCTCCACCTTAGCCTGTGTAAGAGTCTCCTGGCCATCCTCTTGCTTCTAGTTTTGCCTCTCTACTTTCAATTTAAGCATTGCAGTTTTTAATTACTGATCCTCTTGTAATAATCTAGCTTTGGTCTTCAGTTTCTTTCCTCAGGTCTGCTGCTTTCCTTTCATCCCATGCTGTTTTTTTGTCTGTCTTGGAGCTCCTGTTGACAAACTAATATTTTAATCTTAAGATATTGTAGCTCAGGTACAGTGGCTGACACCCATAATCCCAGCACTTTGGGAGGCTGAGGTTGGAGAGTCACTTCAGCCCAGGAGTCTGAGGCTGCAGTGAGCTATGATCATGCCACTGCACTCCAGCCTGGGTGACAGAACAAGACCCTGTCTCAAAAAAAGAGAAAAAAAAAGAATGCTCTGTCTCTT